GTTAATATGTTGAAAACAATGTTGAAAAAAAAAATTATGTTTATCTCTTTTATAATATTATTTAGATCTTCTATACATCTTTTGCTATCCTAAATAATGTAGCAAGTGAATATACACAGATGAGGTGTTTTTAAAAAAAAAAAATATTCTTTAGTTTTGATGTGCATGAAATGAACATACTTTCTTGCGATGCTCCAAAAGCATTGGCAAGGTAACGTAAGAAACACAGCATGATATAGTAAGGCATTCGTGAGTACTGCACATTTTGGAATAAAAACAGGTAACAGGATAATTAAGACATGTCTAGCTGTAGGTATAATAAGTGGCTAAACTGTGTCACCGTGATCGTTAAAACTGAAGCATTAAAAAATATTATTACGTACTTATTATGGACTGATTAGACACGTAAAATAAAGTTTAAAGTGTGAGCCAGTGCCTGCTCATCAACACACCCTCCAGCTCCAACAGTAGAGTGATGGTCCTACAAGAGTCCCACTACGCAGAAGGAGAGCATGATGCCGGACTGGAGATCCACTGGAGATCCCAGATTCCACAGACAAGGTAAGTAGTTGAGCCTTCTGGTGAGATTCAATCTGGTTCCTGAAGGTGACACATAGAGCATCAAAGGCTGCATGGAATGCAGATTCCCAGCGCAAGCTCAAGTGCTCTGTCTGTGTGGCGACCATCTGACTGTGCCTCAAGGTCTCACTGTGTCAGGGTAAGTAGTGGTTTTCTAGCTTCTGGAGGCAAAGTAGCTTTTCCCTGGTGGGGACTGAAATAGCCCCCACCGGTCCAGGGGGTAAATGGGGTTGCAGTTGTAGGGCTCACAAACACAATCACTCCAGTTTTAGAGATCGGTCGCTTCTACCTTGCACTTAACACTCGGAGCATATAGGCTGCAGAGCAAAGCTTTGGTAAAGCTGGCTCAGGTGTGCACCCTTATGTAACGCACACATGAGCGCTGGGTGGGCAACATCCGAAGGATTAGTCCCCTCAGTAAGTCAAGTTTCACAGGCTATCTGCATGGAGCCCACTTCATGCCATGATAAGGCCAGGGACTATTGAAAGTATTTAGAAAATTAGACAGACTAGGTGGGCCGAACGGTTCTTATCTGCCGTCACGTTCTATGTTTCTATAACCCACCCCCTCAGATGAGGTTTTTATTTTAGTCACTTCATTACTAATTAGCAAAAAATGATGGTCAAAAATAGATATTCTTTTTATGTCCATATGCATTCAATTTTCTTACCGTTAAGGACCAGGGCTGTTTTTACATTTCTGGGTTTTGTGTTTAGCTGGAATTTTCCTCTTACTCATTTACTGTACCCACACACATTATATACCGTTTTTCTCATTATTAAATAGTCTTTCTAAAGATACCATTATTTGTATCATATCATATAATTTACTATAAAAAATTATAAAATGTGATGAAATAATTTAAAAAAACACTTTTTCTAACTTTGACCCACAAAATCTGTTATGCATCTACAACCGCCAAATAGTTTCCAAATTTTGTCCTGAGTTTAGAAATTCCCAATGCTAACAAGTTCTTAGCTTTTTTTTGAAAGTTATAGGGCAAAAAATACAAGTAGCACTTTGCTATTTCCAAACCATTTTTTTCAAAATTAACAAAAGTTGCATTGTAACACTGATATCCCAGAATAACCCTTCACATGTATATATTTTTAAAAAGAAGACAACCTAAGGTATTAAACTTGGGGTATTTTGACTATTTTCATGCTACCATTTCACCACCAATCTATGCCAAATTTAAAAAAAATAATAATAATTGGTGATTTTTTTTGAAACACATAGCAATTTAAGAATACACGTACTGAGAACTTTAAGGGTTACTGCCAAAGAACACCCCAATATGTGTTCAGCAACATCTCACGAGTACAGTGATACCACCCATGTATAGGTGTGTTGGGTTCTCTGGGGGCTAAAAGACCTTATTTGGAATTTTACAGCTGGTCATCATGCACACATGCCCTATTTGGGACTTTTTTGAAGCCGGCCAATGTAATTTACACCCATCAAACCATATATATTTTTAAAAGTAGACACCCTAGGGTATTTCAAATGGTGGTATTTGAACACTTTCCATGCACTAATTCTACCACCAGTCATTTTGGGTAGTAATTTTTTTGTGTTATTTTTCTCTCACATTGTACTTTAGGCATGGATTCTCAGTACCTGTTATGTGTTACTGACAAAGAACACCCCAATATGTGTTCATCAACATATCCTGAGTACAACAGTATCCCCAATGTACAGATTTTATGGGTTTTTACAAACTTACAGGGGTTAAATGTAGGGCTTTCCCCTTTTCCATGTTTGCACATTGAAATTTGCCAGGTTGGTTTGCTGGGCCTATGTTGCCTTTGAGACCATATGGCAGCCCAGGAATGAAAATTAACCCCATCATGGCATACCATTTGTAAAAGTAGACAACCCATGGTATTCAAAATGGGGTATGTTCAGTCTTTTTTAGTAGCCACATAGTAACAAACCCTGGCCAAAATTAGACAAAGCAGGGTATTCAAAATAGGGTATGTCCAGTCTTTTGTAGTAGCCACTTAGTCACAAATGCTGGCCAAAGTTAGCATTTTTATTTGATTTTTGCATTTTGTAAATCAAAAACAGCACTTTTACTGGTGATATCATCGTTGTGATAAGTTTTACCTTTTAAAACACTCATATTTGTGTTCAGCAAAGTCTCCCGAGTATAAAAATACTCCCCCCCCCCTGCCTCCCCATGTATAGGTTTTATGGTGTTTTGGAAAGTTACAGGGTCAATATAGGGCTTGCCCAATTCAGTTTGCCAGATTGGTTTGCTGCGTCTATGTTGGCTTTTGAAACCAAATGGTAGTCCAGGAATGTGAATTAACCCCATCATGGCATGCCCTTTTCAAATGTAGACAACCCAGGGTATTCAAACTGGGGTATGTCCAGTCTTTTGTAGTAGCCACTTAGTCACAAACACTTGCCAGAATTAGCGTTCATATTTGTTGTTTGCATTTTTTTACACAGAAACTGTACTTTTACTGGTGATTTCATCATCATGATAAGTTTTACAGTTTGAAACACTTATATTTGTGTTCAGCGAAGTCTCCTGAGTATAACAGTATCCCCCATGTACAGCTTTTATGGTGTTTTGAAAAGTTACAGGGTCAATATAGGGCTTGCCCAATTCAGTTTGCCAGATTGGTTTGCTAGGTCTATGTTGCCTTTTGAGACCATATGGTAGCCCAGGAATGTGAATTAACCCCATCATGGCATACCATTTTCAAATGTAAACAACCCAGGGTATTCAAAATGGGGTATTTCCAGTCTTTTGTAATAGCCACTTAGTCACAAACGCTGGCCAAAGTTAGCATTTAAAAAAAAAATGTTTAATTCTTTATTTTCTTGTGCATTATATTACATATAACAAAATAACTTGGCGTGCCACAACAGCAGTAGCAAGCATATTAAGTACACTATATGGCATAGTTGTTGAGAGATCGAAACGATACATCATGAGAGTAAGCAGGTTAAATATGCATAGGTATACCGCTATGACTTGCATCGTGGCACTCTAGAAGAACTTGCACTTTTTAATATTATGAAAAAACAAGAAAAAACATATTGATTCTATGTTTAAGCAGGTTGGGCTGGCATGTTTTTCTGGACATATGCAAAGTGGAGATGATGAGCCCAGAATAGGCAGACATGTGGGCGATATGAAATGTTGGGATTCGCCGAAGCCGGCTACTATTCTAGTCTGCGATACCACTTAGTCTAGGAGCGCCGGAAAGGCTTGGCTGACAGTGGTAGGGTGCTGGACAACGTGTGCGGTCAGAAGTGGTGTTAAGAGCTTGGTAGCTAAAGAGCGAAAAGCAATAAACACAAGATAAAACACAAATACAAATACAAAAGGAGCAGTTGAGCGTAGTGTACATGGTCGGCTATCATAAGGGTAGCTCTGTCATGTATGGCTAACTGCCTGATGTAGGTGATGGTGTGTATCTGGTAGGCTGGTGCAAGCTAATGGGGTGTGTATTGCTACGCTTGGGCCTCTTCGTAGTTATGGTTATAGCATACCCCTTGACTGTATTACCCCCAGGCATTGAGGAGGGGGGGAGGTTATATGGGTTGGTATTATCCGGTCTGGGTGTATATGAGTCGTTGTCTTGGGGCAGTTAGGTCTCCATCACATTTAACTTCCAATATTGTACTAGGAAACTGTAAAAAAAACTATAGAAACTTTGCACAGCAGAGTACGGCCATCGTTCAGGTTGTGGCCAACACATAAGAGTCCGGTGTAGATGTCCTTCGAACAAACTTGGGGGTTCCCGCCAGATTCCACCGTTGTCGGCACTCGGGAGTTGCGTTCTGATCATGGTGACTCAGAGAATCTGCTGGCAGCCCCAGACTCTGCAGGAGCACCTTGCTCTCTTGGAGGTCCTGAATTGTATGCGTCGCATCCCTGTGGAAGACTGTCATGGCTCGGGAAGGGCGCCACCGGTAGTGGATGTTGTGGTGTTGCAGCAGGGTGGTGAGTGGCTGAAAGGAACATCTCCATGCCAGAGTGCTGCCGGAGAGTTCTGGATAGAAGGTCAAAGCCATTTCCTCAAAGGAATAGGGTGAGTGTCCCTGTATGGCGGACATTACCGCTGCTTTATCTTTGCTGTTTTGGAATTGAATCGTTTTTTGAATTTTTTTAAACAAAAACTGCGCTTTTACTGGTGATATCATCATCGCGATAAGTTTTACTTTTTAAAACACTGTTTAGCGAAGTCTCCCAAGTATAACAATACCCCCCATGTAAAAGGTTTATGGTGTTTTGGAAAGTTACAGGGTTAAATATAGGGCTTGCCAATTAAATTATCTGGACTCTCTGCCTGGGTTGTCAGACAGGTCCCTCAAATTATAATTAATTAAATCAAATTATATATATATATATATATATATATATATATAATCAAAAAATATATCCAGGGTGCACTCTCAGGTCTTGAGCAAAAAAAGTGATTTATTAAATCATGTGCAAAATAAACACAACTGGTTGTCTTTATTTTGCACATGATTTAATAAATCACTTTTTTTGCTCAAGACCTGAGTGTGCACCCTGGATATATTTTTTGATTATATAGCGGACGCACAGTGGAGTGCACCCGGGCAGTTATACACATTTGGAATACTAGGAAGGAGAGTGCCAAGCCATCTATTTTATTATATATATATATATATATAAATACACACATACAGTGGGACCTCGGTTTACGAATTTAATGCGTTCTGCGGGACGTTTCTTATTGCGAAAAATTTGTAAACCGAAACGCGGTTTCCCATATAATGCATTGAAAACCAATTAATCCGTTCCAAAGGTCAAAATAAATTAAAAATTAGCTGGCATGGAAACCAACCCACAATGCAGAACACACAATAAAAGGCATGCAAACGACAAAGCTCAGCTCCTTACCTTTCCACAGCTTGAGAAATGTACCAAAAAGTCCCAAAACAACTGCAAACAATTTCTAGAATGGCTCCAAAACTCGATGCAAAAGCCGCTCCAACACCTCCACACTCGACGCCACGTGCTACCCACAGGCTTCAGCATGCAGGGGGCGGTGCTATAAACCTCCCAGGTGCAATGCATCCTGGGGAAACTTGCTTTGTATTGCGAAAACAATTTGTAAATCGAGGCATTATTTTCAATGGATTTTCATTTGTAAACAGAAAATTATGTTAACTGAGGCATTTGTAAACCGAGGTCCCACTGTATATATAATAAAATAAATACAAAATTTTATTTTTATTTATAATATATATATATATATATATATATATATATATATATAAAGGAAAAATTCTTGGCACTCACCCTTACTATTTCAAAAAAATATAAACAATCCTGCCTGGGTGCAATCCTCAGCGTTTGAACATATAAAAACCAGTATATAAGGAGCACTCACAGGTCTTCATCTGAAATCTGATTTATTCTTAAGTGCAAGTTACATGTGCAATCAACGTTTCGACCCTCACAGGGTCTTCTTCAAGATCAAATAAACAGTGAGACAGGTAAGTATATATACACAAATATAGATTGATAACTTACCAACAGGTGTGTGGGAAAAATAAAAACCGCCAACTATCCGAGAGCCGGAAGTGTACCTGAGTGATCATGTGACCCCTAAACTCCCCATAATACTGCGTAACCAATACGTAACCAATACGTAACCAATACGTAAAACCGATCGTTAAAAAAAGACCGCTGAACATCCGAAACCCGGAAGTGCGTCTATGCGGTCACATGACCTCGTTACCAAGCAACATGTGAAGCTGCTTCTATATGTGATCAGGCGCATATAAAGGTGTAATGTGTGTGTTCTAACGTGTAAAAAATAGAAATAAAAATCAGAAACACTACAAATACTTATATAATGAAAAGAATATATCTATCCTAAGGAGGATCTCTATAGTTAATATATCACTTAATTATGTGGGAATGAGGCACCAAAGTGCCAATTATAAAAAGTGACATAGGATAAAACATCCTATAAACCCACATACAAAACATCTATAATATAAAGACAAGAACTGATTTGTCCTATCCCAGAGCCACTGCTAATGAAAAACACCCATAAGTACTACTACTAATAATAATAGTATGCATATCTAATTACTTCCCCTACATATCCATAGCTATGTCACACTTAAAGGTGTGGTCACCTATATTACCTAATGCAGTTTACAAAAAAATGTTTTATATACAATTTTCAAAAAAACAATATTGCAATAATACAGTAATCTTCTTACTGATATATTATCTAAGGAGTGTGTCACACTACCTTTTTCTAGCAGTGTAAATCAGATACATACAAAATATCTAATATATAGTATAACTCAATCTTTCCATGTATATATACATCAATCATTAATTTTGAATCCCCACAATTATCCCAGCCAATATACAATACAATTCACAGGAACATCGAGGACGTATTATATTCGTTCAATCCTTTAGGTGTAACTGTATCCAGTTTAAAGATCCAATAAGCTTCTCTTTAAAGCAAATATTTAGACCCGTTACCCCCGCGGGGTAACGGGGGAACATGGTCAATGGCCACAAATTTGAGTGTTGGAAGTCTGTGTGAAGCTGCCAAAAAATGCTTAGCTATTGGCTTGTCCGTTTTTTGATCCCTGTATGCTGTCATAATACCAGATCTATGTCCACGGATACGGTCCCTTAAGGTTAGGTCTGTCTTCCCCACATACGACAGACCGCAGGGACATGTTATGAGATATATTACATGATCCGTTGTGCATGTGATATAATGAGATATGCTGATTCTTTTCCCACTATGGAGATGAACAAACAAATTTGCTGGGATCATATGGCTACAGGTTACACAGCCACTACATCTATAGCATCCTGGCTTTTTGTATGTTCTATTCTTCCTATAACACTGGATAGGGTCACTACGGATCAAGATGTCCCTTAAATTCCGATTTATTTTATAACTAATAATTGTTTTTTTCCGGAACATAGGAGACAGATGTTTATCTGAGCCTACTATAGCCCAGTGTCTGTCAATTGCTTTCCGTAACTGCGTGGATCCTGTGTGGTATGTAAGAGGTAAATATATATTCGAAGTGTCCTTCGTTGGTGTCTGTTGAGTGGCATGGCTCTCCTGTTTCTATTTTTCAATTGCTCGATTTTTAGCTTCTTCAAGTATTTTAGAATTATAACCCCTCTCTTGAAATCTGCGTGTCATCTCTAATAATTGACGTTGTCTGTTTTGTGGATCGGTGTTATAGCGTAATACACGCATATATTGAGACATGGGCAGTGAATCCTTGAGCCTCTGTGGGTGGAAACTAGTAGCTAGAAGTAGGGTATTCCTGTCGGTCTGCTTGCGATGTAATGTATATCCTAATTTATCACCATCTTTGTATATCGTGACATCCAAAAAGGATATTTCTCTCTCACTATAGGCCAAAGTAAACTTGACTGGTAAGGGCAATTTATTAATATTGAGTATCATCTCTTCCAATTCACTCGATGAGCCCTTCCATAACAGAAACACATCGTCAACAAAGCGATAATATGCCAAGATGTTATTGGGTACTTGATTGAGAATATACTGGCTTTCAAATTGAAACATAAATGCATTCGCGTATGAGGGTGCCATGGCAGCCCCCATCGCTGTTCCCGACAACTGTAAATAAAACGATTCTTCAAATTTAAAGTAATTGCATGTGAGTGCAATGCATAAAAATTCCAACAAATATTCGATTGGAGGTCCATCATATTGCTCAGATCTTTGAAGTATTTGCCTCAAAGCATCAATACCTTCCATATGAGGTATGATAGTATACAGGCTTTGGACATCGAGTGTGGCTAATATTGTATTATGATCCTTTAGTGAAATTGTTTCAATTCTGGTCAGTACGTCTTGAGTGTCATGGATACAAGTAGGTAGTCTCTTGACAGTCTCCTTAATAAAGAAATCAACATACTTGGTGATGGGTTCTACTAAAAAAGTCTCTAGCAGATACGATGGGTCTGCCTGGAGGTTGACTGGTGTCTTTATGGATTTTAGGAATAGTGTACAATACCGGATGTACTGGATGTTGAACAAATAAAAAATTAGACATATAGGTATTCAAATACCCCAGTTGTACACCCATCTTAATGTGTTCTTTTATTAGACTCTGAAATTTATTAACTGGGTCAAAGGTCAATCTCTGATAGGTGGATCTATCCGATAATTGCCGCATGATTTCTAATCTGTAACTTGCACTTAAGAATAAATCAGATTTCAGATGAAGACTTACCTGTCTCACTGTTTATTTGATCTTGAAGAAGACCCTGTGAGGGTCGAAACGTCGATTGCGCATGTAACTTGCACTTAAGAATAAATCAGATTTCAGATGAAGACCTGTGAGTGCTCCTTATATACTGTTTTATATATATATATATATATATATATATATACATATATACCAAATAAGTTGTGGTGGGGAAAAAGTGTGGATGAAAACCCTTTCCACCTGAAATATACCTACCCAGAACCCCTCGCAGTAGTGAGAGCACTGATAAAGTGATATTTCTGTGGTAAAAGCAAGTCTTATGGCTTGCCTGGTGTGTGTATTTGTGTTTAACATTGCATTAACTATCCATTTATTTCAGGTGGAAGGGGTTTTCATCCACACTTTTTCCCCACCACAACTTATTTGGTATGTACTGAACAAGTAACGCCAAGCCTCCATAGCAATCCAGTAACCTATCTCATGCTTATGAGTTGAAATAATAATGCAACAGCTGTGCACTAGTGGTTCACTGGTACTGCACCTCTTCCTGAGTTGAGTTTCAAAGCTGTTACATGCAGCAGACACATACTCCAAGGAATCCATATATAAAGTGGAATTATGAGGCAAAAATTTGGTTCTTTGTTGAGCTAATTTGCATACACCTACCCAGAATCCCTTGCAGTAGTGAGAGCACTATTAAAGTGATATTTCTGTGGTATTTGTGTATTTGTGTTTAACATTTCATTAACTATTAAATATATAATATATGTATAATATATATATTTTTTTATTATTTTTTTTAAAACTTTTTAGCAGACTGAGGGACAGCCTGACAGCTCAGACAGCCTGACAGCCTGACAGCCTGACAGCTCAGTGCCCCTGCTGGCAGCCTTATAAACTTCTATTGCAGCCATGTGATCGAGGTAGTGGCCGGAGCTGCTGCAGGGGGACTGCTGGGGTCTCTGGCAGTCCCCCCTACCATGATCGCTGCGGATCGGCTGTCCAGGTAGTCCACGGCTCCTATTTGCCGTGGACGTACCTAGTACGTCCATAATTGTTAAGGGGATACAGTATATGTATTTATAACATCATTCTCAATGTATTTTGATTTACATATATATGTATATTAATATCAAAATACAGTTAGAACATTTTTAAACCGCTTTATAATTTTTTTTAAATGTAATTTTTTATTTATTTAATTATTTTTTTTTCAATTTATTATTTATATTTTATACTGGTTACCGACCGTTTTTTGGCGGACGTACCTGGTACGTCATTGGTCGGAAAGAGGTTAA